CAAGAATTTGGTGAACATCTGTGCTGGTTAATCTGGATCTTATGAGTGGAGGAATATGCGCGTTAGGGGAGCCTCCAGGGAGCCCTTTACAATAAAAGGTGATGGGCTGAGAGCGTCCTCAGAACTTCTCGAGTGTTGATAGTCAGTCTAGGCTGCAGTCGATCAGCTGATCGAATTTCCTCTTGACTGATCCTACTGTGAGCTTACTGTACCCGCCACCATAGATGACCATCGCGCTGGGAAAGGTCACCCAGGAGATGTGCATGGAGAAATAAGGAGGGTCCTCAAGATAGTCGGGGACAAAGCAGTCTTCTGGCCATGAAACAAACATGGCAACTTGCAGGGGACGACTAGAAGGCAAAGCTCTTATTTTCGTCTTCTTGGACTCGAATGTCTCTCATCGGGAGGCTTCTCCCTTCTTCGTATACTGCTTCAAGTGCCCCTCATTGACGAGGATCTCGATGGCGTCCTTCAGATGGACACAATCTTTGGTCATATGGCCATGACTGCGATGAAAACGACAATACTTGCTTTTGTCGGTGTTGCCCTTTGATGTTGTCGGTTTAGGAAATCGTACCCCTCTTTTTTTGAATTCGGTGTTGATACATTCAGAAAGGATACATTCGCGGGGAGCAGTCAGTAGGGTATATTCAGTAAAGCGACCAACAGGTTCTTTATGATCACGAGGACGGTCATCTCGTCGCACTAAAGACTATGACATAGGAACGAATGCGTCGCATATCGCCCCCAAACGGGACATACACTAAACACTCTAGACAAGCGAGAGGAGACCCCTCACTCATCATTCCCCATGTGCTTAAGGCTCGTAGCGTACAACGTTCATCGTATTTATTAAATGAGCTAGAATTTGTTTTGAGATGAGAAGAGAGACGCACGAAAGGTCTAAGGGGAAACTCGGCTCTAACGTTGTCATGCAAAATGGACATAAAGTTGGGATTAAAAGGGGAACATCTACCCTAATGTTAGCATGCTTGGATTAAACACTTAATGTCTCTCCTACTCCCCAAAGGGACTAGGAATCCTAAGGGATCATGGCAAAGAAAAACCAAGAAAACACAAGATAAATCAACCACAAGTAGAAAGAAATGGAAGATAAAATGCAACATGAAATGCAAACACAAAAGAAAAGTAGGAGGAAACAGTGTGGGACATCAGCCACCACAAGCATATCTCAACCAAGCAATGCAAGCAAAGGAAACAATGCAAATGATCATCACTTTGATCCAAATCCATAAGCATGCATTCAAGTGGAAATCGAACACGCGTGTCGAAGAACCTGATTAAACAATCAAGGACAACAACACAATATCCAAAACATCTCACTCCTAATGCATCATACTGATCCATTAGAATTCGAAGTGAAATGACACCAAAACAACCTTGCAAAACAGCAAAACAGGCCTGCTGGCACATTGTTAATCGGTTAACACTAGGGGTTAACCGATTAACTAGTTGAAAATGTTTGAAAATTTAAATATTCGCACTGGTTAATCGATTAACTAGTTTGTACTGCATCTAGTTAATCGATTAACATTGTACCAGAGGCAGAAAACAGCAGCTCAAAAGCACTTTTCAGTAATTAATCACTTCTCCAATAATCCAGATGATTGTATAATCAATTAAGCACGAATTTAACACCAGAAAACAGTGATCCAGCAGCATGTAAACACATTCAAACATCAAGATCACAAATCACATGGATCAAATCAACCAAAAGTGAATAAAAAATGAAGATCAACATGATGATTATGCAAATAAGCTCAAAAACAGAATCGGATCTAGAACTTCCAACCTACAAAGCGGAGATTTGCTTTGGTAAATGTTGATTCAACTTCAAATGAGCAAATCCAAGCAAGAAACCCAGAGATTCTTCAAGATCCAAGTGATTTCTTGTTGTAGAAGTAAAGATCCACCAAAATTAAGTAAGAATTACCCAAATAAGCTCCTCTAGATCAACTTCAAAATTCAGATCCACAATAGCACGAAATTTGAATGGAGAATTGGAGATGATATGGATGAAGGATGAAGGTTTTAGCTCTAGGATTCAATGATTCCAATGGAGAATCAAATAATTCGAGGTGAGAAGAGCTTTGGTGGAGTTTGGGAGTAAAAGAGTTGAGAGCAAAACTCAAGAGTGGTCTTGAATTCTGAAAATAAAATGGAATTATGAGGATTGTGTGTGTGAGGTTTGGAGCAAATCATTTAAATATGCTCTTGGTTTGGATCCAAATGTGGTTTGGAGTGTGGTTTGTGAAAATTGGTTTGGGATTAGGAATGGGAAATTGGAGGGAATTTGAATTAATTTGAAATTTAATCAAAATTCAAAGTGGTCCTAGATCCTTCCTTTGGTGTAAAATCAATTCCTCAAGTGATCAAAATGGACCCCAAAGTGATTTCTATTGAAAATTCACGTACAGAGCTGGAATTTGCCTTGGTTAATCGGTTAACCATATGGGTTAATCGATTAACACCTTCAAAAATTCAAATTTGACTTGATTTTGACTTGGTTAATCGGTTAACACCTTAAAAATTTGAATTTTGGCGCCTTTTAAAGGGAAATGTGCACATTTGTCCGTTTTCATACGTTCTAAGCCCTGTTCAGCCTCTGAAACTTGCTCTTGAATACTACAACCATGAGAACGCTTGGGATAGCCTGAATGCTGCCTCCTGAGCTGAAAATAACCTGCAAAATAAAATCGACCGCTCGATCGTCAGGCAAAATAAATGTTGGAGCTCTTGATGCTCGTTGTTCAGTCTCTTGCACTAAAAAGACCTGAGCCACAGAAAAAACCTTGATCCCGCGCCTCAAGAACAGATGTTATGATATGCAGAAATGCGAAAATGCAAAGAAACAAAAGCCAGTCCAGGTTAAAACAGAAGGACAAATTTTGAGGTGCTACAGAAGTGATTGGAGGAACTTGAATAAATTCAACTATCTAAGGAATATGGATCAAAATCTGGATGTAATAGAACTTCTTCTCTAAGATTCACAATATTTCGCTAGGGAGATAATGGTGATCGATTAATAGCTTCTCGAGCGGCGGAGTCAGTGATTTAGGAATTCAGGAAATCATAGTTGAAGCAATACTTGATGAAATCAAATGCGGTGGATCTTCGTGTTCGATTTTAAAGGATCTTAGTTCAGTGGCATGAGAAGATTACACTGGTGAATTGAAGAGCAATCGTGGAATTATGGAGAACACAGAAATCAGAAGCCAATTCCCACAAACGACACCGCTAGGGAGATAATGGTGATCGATTAATAGCTACTCGAGCGGCGGAGTCAGTGATTTAGGAATTCAGGAAATCAGAGTTGAAGCAATACTTGATGAAATCAAATGCGGTGGATCTTCGTGTTCGATTTTAAAGGATCTTAGTTCAGTGGAATGAGAAGATTACACTGGTGAATTGAAGAGCAATCTTGGAATTATGGAGAACACAGAAATCAGAAGCCAATTCCCACAAACGACACCGCTAGGGATGGCAAAAAAATCCATACCCGCGGATAAAATCCGTCACGGGTACGGGGCAAGTAGTTAGTTAGATATCCATGGATAAAATAAATGAAAATTTAAATACCTGTTTTTTAATGGATACGAATATAAGTTTAATGGTATCTGTGTTCGCAGATATTCGTATCCATTAATAAATTATAAAATTATTTAAATATTATTAGTTTAAATTATTTAAAGAAAAAAATTAAACTTGTGATGAAGAAAATTAATGAAAAAAATTTTTATTATTAAAATAAGAGCGAATTGTATGAATTTTATGTCATAATAGCTTTTTATATCTTTAAAAGTAGTTGAATAATTTTTTTTATCAAAAAATAATTTTAGTAAAAAATATTATGTAAATACCTATGAATATTTAAAAACCCGCAAATTACTCGCTTAACAGATATTCTCACAAACATGGATATTATATTTATCAAATGGAGCGGACACGAATATCATATTATCTGTCCGCATGGATATCCATTTATATCCCTAGACGCCATTGTTCCGTACTTAAACCAGAAATAGAGTGATGATCGGAGTTAACAACATGTTTAAGGTTTCGACGCGGCAGAGAGGAAACTGACCTGCAAGGTTAACACTCAAAAACTCACATCATTATGTGTTAAAGAAAAGTGAATTTGAAATGAGTTTGAAAGTTGTTACCTGAATTTGACATCTTTTTTATATATAATAGAGAGAGTAACAAACTTGCTATTTGTTAGGAGTAAAATGTGTAGAGTCGTGGATGTGAATGCATGTGAGTATAGTCAATAAAATTTGATTTTCTTTTCATTGATAAATTTAATGAGATTAAAGATAGTGCAGTATAAACTAGTTTTACATCATAATTTAATAGAATAGTAATATTTCACCATGTCATATTAGTATTTGAGAATTAAACGTGTGATTTGACGAAATACACGTCCTTGATTGGTCGATAGTATAAAAAATATTTAATATTGTAGGTGCATTTTTTTCTCAAATTTAATTTGGATTGATTTTGGTGTGAAAACCAACTATATTATTAAATTCTTTAAGTCATAGTAATTATTATTATTTTATTTATTTTTGAAAAGTGCAAAGAAATAAGACAGAATAAAGTGCAAGTGTGTTAATGAGCGACACAAAATCAGGTAGAATAACTTGGAGAAAAATAAAATAAACATATATAAGAAGAAGCTTTCAGCGCAGGTTTAGAAACACTTCCATTCCATGTTGTTCTTCTCCTGAACTTGATGCATTCTTATTCTTCTTCAAAACTTCCAATTATGTAATGAATGTTGCGTATTTCTCTTCCTTTCATCTTCTTCCACGTTGCTTCACAACCAACTCCTCCCTCTTTCGGAATCTCCAACTATGTTTTGTACCATCTCTCTGCCTTGGCCTTGACCCTTAAACAAATTTAGTTTCATTGTCCTTTTCCACCACCATAGTTGCAATATTTTTCGTTTTGTTTCATAAGGTCTCTCACTCTTTGATATGAAGAAAAAACCACACAGCATAATGAAAAAAATTGTCTTTGAGAAGACCGAGAAAACAGGGAGAAACGACAGGTTTTTGGTGACTATAAACATCATGGGAAGTTCGGGTCCTTTAAGGTTTGTGGTGAACGAGAAAGAGCTTGTTTCTGGAGTCATTGATACTGCTCTTAAATCCTATGCAAGAGAAGGAAGACTTCCTGTTCTTGGTTTCAATGCTGCCAATTTTCTTCTTTACCATCCAAACGCAGGATTTGATGGTATGCTTGCTCACTCAGTAACACGAACACACCTATGTAAAAAGATGTGTTTTGTCTGACACTGATATCGTCACTAATGATTCTGTTAAGTTTTTTATTTTTTTAAATTATTAACGATATCAATATCATGTCTGGTGTCTGTGTCTATGTGTTTCTGTGCGTATTTTATAGTTTGTTCACCTTTTTGTAAATTGTGATTATATGATAAAGGTTTATTCTGATTGGTGAAACTTGTTTGATAGCTCTGAATCCATTGGAATGCATAGGATCTTATGAGGCGAGGAACTTTGTGATGTGCAAAAAGCAGGAGTACTCGTCAAAGAAAGAACCGCAATCAGAGTTGATATCTGCGAAGAGCAATGGTGGCTGGAAAGCATGGTTAAACAAATCTTTTGGTTTGAAAATCTTGTCACATTGATTCATTACATAAGAATTGGGAAGGTGTTAGAGAATTCCGTTTGAATTCTGAATTGTGTTCAATGTCACACACTATATAATAGTGGCCTTAGCATTGAAGTTTAATGGTTCATTATTAATACAAAAAAGTGCTTGTACTTTAGAAATTAATATTAGAAATGAATATCACGAGTAATTGGTTTCTTTATATCACATGACACATATGTGCTTATATTTACTTTGAATTGAATTTTATCTTTGAACCAATATAGCATTCGGTAAGAAGTTAACACTATTATAAATAATATATTTTATAAAAGAATTTTTTTATTTCATCTAATAAAAGATTGAAGTATAATTTTAGGACGGATCATGTTTTTTTAATACCATCTGTTTCATCGGTTTTTAAATATAATCGAAGTGAAAACTAATTCAAAATACGTTTCGAATTTCAACAAATATAGTTTATATTTTTATTTCTTTAAAATTAGTGTGTTTTCTTATTTATTTTTATTTGTAAATTAAATTATTTATTCCTTCGATTTCTTTAATAACTCAGAAGGTTAGATAATCATATTTTCTTATAAAAACATTCGTTCATTAAGTTTTATCCAAAATCTAACTCATCTATAGCCGCTTCAAATTCGTATACCATTGCTTTGGGATGGATTGCAAGACAAAAAAATCTTCAAGATTTTGTGTTGTATGTTGATCTATTAACACTAACATTGAACAAAATATTTTTCTGCTATTGCAAACTATCTTACATTATGGTGTTTTTATTATTGTTATTGTTGTTTCCACCTCTTGCGAGACCATTGTTATATTTTGGAATAATCTTCCTATGTTGTTAGTAAAAAAAACACTCCATAATTTATTGTTTTCCTCGATCGACAACATTAAGAAATTTATTCTTAAACATATTGTAAATTGCAAGCAACATTGTTGTTTCACAATACAAGTTCTTGAAAAATTTATTTTGAATATTGCAGCACACAAAGAAAGTGACGAATGGGAAAAAAATTTGAAAAAGAAAGCAATACATGTTACTTTCAATTTTTAACCATTCACCATTTTTTGCAAGTATTATATTACCTCAGTTCTTTTATAAAACAGAGGGAAAAATTCATATTTCATTTTATTATTTAATTAAAAAAGAAATAACCTTGCCCCTCAATTTTATTAAAGAACAGAGGGGTATAGTTGCTCAAATAACCTACAACGAATCAATGTCTTATATTCATAAAGTAGCAACACTCAAGATATTGCCAACACCTCAATCCCCAAAAACCCTCTACATCTAATAAGAACGGAAACACCACCACTTTATATCTTGAACGCTATCTTGTGAAACTCAAACATTGATAATGAAAGCATTTCCATAAAAATAATAAAATTAATGAAGCTTGGAACAAATATAAGGGATGAATTCCAAGTGCAGAAAAAAATTTGTTTCAAGGTTGGTGTTCTTACATAATATCTTATCTTTTAACCAAAATTTTATGTTATGTATCTAACCTTTTTTTTTATGTTATATCATAAATTGGATGAGTGCAAAACTATTGAACTTGAAAAGTAATGGGTATGTAACAAAACCAGGATTTGTTCTTCTTCAAGAATAATAGTTACGATGATGAATCAAATTTGTCAAAAAATTGTACTTGTAGATTGAAAGCAAAACAATGTAATATAAGAAACTTTGTATTTTAATAAAAAAAATGGATATTTGTAAACAATGTAATTTAATATTGTATAAAAAAATCTAATTTTTATTCTAAAAAAAATGTTTCCCTCGATTTTTGACAAAAACCGAGAGGTATGTAGTTTTGAAAATATAAAAATGTTGTTGTTGCAGATCAAACCAATGACCATTTCAACTATCCATTCAATTAATAAAAAACTAAGGAGTAAAGTAACAAGTTTTCATAACGCCCTTCGTTACCTCACTTATGTAACCGAGGTAACATTTCATTCGTGTATGAGATAAAATGTGCTTTTTTAATAGTAGTGTAAGTTTGGAATATATTGAAAACATAAGGTTTGATGCATATATTTGGATACATGTTTTTCTTAGAGACGCTCAAAACATTTGTAAGATTTGATGCATCCAGTGTATTCCGAAACTAGAAAAGTTCCTTCAAAAAATTCCACATCCATTACATTTTATTTTAAAACTTTCTTATCTTTAAAATATTCTTTTATAAACATTCAATTGCCCAAAATTTGAGAAGTAACATGAAAAAAATTGAAAAAAAAATGATTTTCTTGCTCTTTTTTGGTGCCATGGTTTTGATAGAGATGAAAAAATAATTTTGAGATGAAGAGAGCTTTTTGTTTACAGATAATGTAAAGACGAAAAAAATGGTTGAAGAAAAATGCATATATTTTTTTTGGCCATATAATCGATTAAGAGCTATAATCTGTCATGAAGTTGAAAAATAGAGTTTTTCCGCTGATATAATCAATTAAGGTCTCAGTGCTAATTGATTATGAAGGATTCATATCAGTAATCAATTATTAGAGATATGGTAATTGATTATTGTTGAAGAACAAAAATAAGTATTTTTGTATATCGTACTACTCTAATATTATAGTCGTTCAACAATTGTTATGATTTTAAGGAACGTGTCATTATCCTATTAATGTATCCACGTGGTTAGTTAAGTAACGATAAGATATCAATCGTATTGCTTACCTGGCGATCTCTCAGCATGTTAATCAATACAATATTATTAAGAGTTGATAGTGCACGTGAATGTTAAGTATAAATCCATCTCTCGAGTTTAGCATTTAACAAATGAAAATCCTTTATCTAGTTATACAAAGTATTTCTCAACAACATTTCACAATCGTATATCAAGTTAGGCATTAAGAACGAGGATAATAAACAATATAAATGAACAACTAGAACATATATAATATCACGGTCAAAAGGAATACATGAGTATTTAGACAATTACATCTAACCCCAACAAAAGAGAATATAACTACTCTTACTCATAGTAGCTTTATACTGATGAATAAGAAAGATATGAAAGAGCGTCAACAGTTGATTTCTCTGGCTGGTTGAAGCTTCCACCTTTAATGGGAAAGTTGTGACCTCTATTTATAAGGAACTGATTAGGTAGTCTTGCACAATGAAATTATCATCTCTCCCAACAAGTATTGCTTCTTCATCAAGAAGTTTTTTCCAACTCATAAAAGTGAGTTATGACCGCCTTCTTTTGCCCAACGAGCTAGTGTCTTCACCCATCGAGGATTCATTACTTCACTATAAAGTAACATAGTCAAGGGGTATTTTAAACCACCATGTCTCTTCCAATAACCTAAATACTTCACCCAACGATAATTTGTCACTTCTCTGAGAAGTAACTTAGCCCAAAGGTTTCTGAACCGCCTTTGTTTTCCCAGCAAGTTTGTACCTTCGCTCAATGAGGATGTCCTTGAATGGATACTTTACTCATTGTTCTAACTTTGTTGGTCGAGTCCTTGCTTGCTCAGCGAATCCTCTACTACTCAGAATCTTTATTTTTTTTATATTTTCTTTGACATTATAACATGTATTTATGAATGACATAGTCATAATGTTACATCTCATGTTGTATCCATGTTTTTTAAAATAAAAAATTATAAATTTTCATATGATTTCTTGTAATTTAAATTAATAAGTGCTTGTATAAAATAAGTAATTTTGTCACTTATCATTTTGCTCGCCCTCACACAAAATCCATACGAAAATGAAATGGTTCTATATAATAATTCACCATGCATAACTTATTTAAGGTTTATGATCACTTAGAAACTTTGGAATAAATCATTTCCAGCTTGCATGACTCATGAAATGCAAATTCAAATCAAATTCACAATCATGCATAAATCAAATCATGAAGATGAAAATGTTGTTTAACCAAGGTATGATTTCAATACAAGTTTAGATCGATAATCAATTTAGTCAGAATCATAATCCTCGCTGAATATCACTCAAACAGGTGGTGTTTCCCTTATTTCAGGCAATACATACAAAACAAATCAATTTTGAATTTTATCTAAGCAATATCCTAAAATATGCTATCAATCATGGATTAATAATGTCTTTTATTAGGGTTGTAATGTTGTTGAGATTACAAGAAGTATTGGTTTTTCTTTGGATTCAAAGGTACCTTAAAGATAAGAGAGCATCTGTTTATCTATATTGAACTATTTGTATTAAAAATTCTCTTTCTTTATTTCACTTACAATTTTATTGGTGATACTTTTGATTTTTTATTCTTGACAATTATTTTTTCTTTTCTTTCTTTTTCTCTTAATTTTCATCTGTTGTCAAGATAACATTAGTTTTTTTTTTCTATCACCAATATTAATATACTTGGTTTATTTATTTCAAATAGCCTAATCTCTCTAACTTGCATATTATAATACCCTAAAATAAATTATCTCATATCTTTAAGACAAGGGAATAAACATTGTGTTTCTCTTTAATGGCTAAGGGTTATAATATTTCAAAAACAATTTTTTTTTTTGGATTAAAGGGACTTATCAAAGGATCACCAACTCACTAGGTAAGCTTTATTAGCCAAGTAGTTATCACTAAAAAAGAAACATAACCTTGATCACTTCCATAGCTTCATACATATCAAGTAATAATAAGATTTATGCAAAATCAACAGAGGTTTTGATTTACCAGCTATGTAAAATATGGTAAATCATGCAAAATCAACAAAGGTTTTGATTTATGTAAAATATGTAAGCAATAGAGTTATTATTTGACCAATTTTGAAAAAGACCTCATATGAACTCCTTAAGGGTAGGAAACCAAACATTGCTCATTTTCACATATTTGGATGCAAGTGCATTCTTCTAAATAATGACAAAGACAATCTCGGTAAGTTTGACGAAAATTCAGATGAAGGTACTTTTCTTGGATATATTCTCTTACTAGTAAAGCATATAGGATATATAATAAAAGAACTTTAACAATAGAAGAATCTATGCACGTTTCTTTTGATGAATCTAACACCTCTA